AGGGGGACTCCACCTGGGTCCATGCCAGTACTTTGCAAACACACACTGGAGTCCTACAACCTTCCCCCAGAGTGACAACCACCACCAAGACAGATGTCCATCAGGAAAGAAAGGAGCTCTAACTTAGAGGCTGCCCGAGGGTCTCAGAGGAAATTCTGACTCTGCCCTGCTTTGCCCTAAACCTCCTGGAACCCCAAGCTCCTCCTCTGGGAAATATGTGTGTTGGGAATGCCTGGTGGGAGGAAGTATGTATGCCTGAGTGCCTGGCCTTACAAGGATGCCACTGTGCTCTGTTGTCTGTGGCCAAAACAATTGGGTTGACTGCTTTTGAACCTGTTAAGGATTCCAGTTTACAAACACAAGCTTGGTTTTTATTCTTTGAGACTGGGTCTCACTCTGTCACCCTGTCTAGAGTGCAGTGGCATCATCAGAGCCCACAGCAACCTCAAACTCCTAGGCTCTGGTAATCCTCCTGCCTCAGCCTCCCCAGTAGCTGGGGCTGCAGGTGCCACCATGCTGAGCTAATTTTCAAATATTTTTTGTGAAGGCAAGGTCTTGCTATGCTATCTGGGCTTGTCTCAAACCCCTGGTCTCAAGTGATTGTCCTGCCTCAGCTTCCCAAGTAGCTGGGACTATAGCTGCCCACTACAACACCCGGCTATTTTTTGTTGCAGTTTGGCTGGGACCAGGTTTGAACCCTCCACCTTTGGTATCTGGGGCTGGTGTCCTACTCACTGAGCCACAAGCACCACCCATTAATGTAGATTTTTTTAATGCACATAAGTTTTTCCCTTTGTAAGGCCACTGTGTTTGCTGGCTCTCTGCCAGCCATCCCAGAACATGTCAAAGAAATAAATATATTTTGGGGTAAAAGATAGTAGTTTCCCTTACCATCTGTACATGTTTGCAGAATATGTGGGTTCTTTTGTTTCCCGAAACATGGGTGTGTTTTGCTTTGTAGTTATAAGTTCAAGGAGCTGGGCTTCTCCTGGGTAATAGAGAGAGCTGAATTTTCATTGCGACGTGACTAACACCTGTTTCGCTCCCAATAGGTCAGGGAGACTTTGACCTGGCCGATGCCCTCGATGACCCTGGTAAGTGCAGAAATCTTACCTCTTTCCTAGACATCAGCTTATGGTTGCTTTGGGGGTTGGCTTGAGCCAGTATTTGAAATTTCTTGGCACTGGGGGGGAATCTTTATTCTGCAGAGATCACAGATGCTTAGAGGCAAACCTTTGCCCAGTCTCCCAAACGGTGCTTTTCAACCACTCTGCCGTGACACACTGGTGTGCTGTGAAAGGATCTTAGATGTGCCATGAAAATTTCTAAACATCACTAATTTAATTATTATTATTATTATTTTTTAAGACAGAATCTCAAGCTGTCAGCCAGGGTAGAGTGCTGTGGCATCATAGCTCACAGTAACCTCCAACTCTAGGGCTCAAGAGAGCCTCTTGCTTCAGTTTTTCTATTTTTTTTTAGTAGAGACGGGGTCTCACTTTTTGCTCAGGCTGGTCTGGAGCTGGTGAGCTCAAGCTGTCCACCTGCCTCGTCCTCCCAGAGTGCTAGGATTACGGGCATGAACCACTGCACCCAGCCAATTAAATTATTTTCAAAAGAAGTTCAAAGCATAGTAAGAATATTCTATTTTTTATTGATTTTATTATGTTCTTATTTTTTTATCAACATATTTTAAGTGTGCCGCAGAAGTTTAATGGTAGGTTCAAGCGTGCCATGAGATTAAAAAAAGGTTGAAAGACACTCTCTGTAGGGGTGGCACCTGTGGCTCAAAGGAGTAGGGCGCTGGCCACATATGCCAGAGGTGGCGGGTTCAAACCCAGCCCCGGCCAAAAACTGAAAATAAATAAATAAATAAAAATTACAAGGCCAATAAGGCTCACAGTTTGTTTTAAAAACAAACAAACAAACAAAAAAAACCCCACTCTCTTTAAAAGTATCATTGCAAAGTAGCGTGACATTGGGGGGAGCCCAGACTCACGTCTAGGTAGGTCTGGGCTGTCCTTGCCCACCTTGTGGGGATAGTATGAAGGTATTTGCTTTTCTAAAAGGTCAGTTCTAATCTATCACTGCCTCATGCCTGGACCACAGTCACTCAGCAGATCCCGACCGCCTTTCTCTGGTCACCTCCATGCAGGGGGCTATTGTGGCTCTCACACAAGTTCACCCAGGATATGAAATCCCCCCACAGTCTGGATCTGCCACCCATCCAAGTTCAACTGGGACCTTCCTAGCTAACCAGAAAGCTAAAAGTCTCCCTCTCCCACCGGTGGGGAATGGTCTTTGCTATCCTGCCTATCTTGGGTATATCCACTTGGCTCCAGGGCACAGATTTTAAGCATGCTTTTGTTGGTGGTGGTGATGGTGGTTATTTTTTTTTTTTTTT